ACCATGGACCTTATAATACATTATAAGGTCCATGGTATTACGTACCCGCGATCCATACACGCAACATTTGAGCACAGTGGCCTACGGGGTCTACTTCAATGAGCACTCTTTCTTGGACACCATATACAATTTCTCTTTTAATTAGGAATTTCACGCGGATAAATTTTTGTTGTTGCACTGTTATGTTTAAACAACTTAGTAGGTGACGGCTGGTGGTTATCTTGACGCGAAATAACGTGAACAGAAAACTCATTTAAAGTGGTAGGGCGCCGCCACGGTGGCTCAATGATTATGACGTTAGCTCGCAAATTTGGGGGTCCGTTTTCGAACCTGATCTTGGCCGAGAAAGTTCATGTTGAATTTTTCGGTGTGGGTTTCCCTTGTCAGTGATGTTAGATAGATGGCCTGACAAGGGACAGCGTATAGTCGTTCGTGTACACATTGGCGTGCGCGTAAAATAACCCTTTCCAGTTGGAATTCGATTTAAGGGCAGGCCGCTGGGCCAATGTACGGGCAAAACTTTCTTCATAGCACAATGCATGGCATAGACCCGTCTTCAATAGCCCAGGCGGAACAGAACTGTAGGACGTTAAACAGCAATTCATTTCATTTTAGAGGGGTTGGATGGCCGAATGGTTAGCACGTGTGCGCTGTATCATAACATCTGGCATTGTGTCAACTGGCGGAGTTTCGATTCCCCGGTTGTACGTGACAAGGAGTAGCGTCGCCTATCCAACCGAGTGTTAGTTCGTGTCGAGTGGACGTTAAACCTCAGTTCTCTCTCTCTCATTTCATTTTATTTTGCTATGTTTATCTGTAAAGGTAATTAATGGAAATATAACGTTTAAAAACTTTATACAATTTTACAGAAACTTGACACCTAACATTCGCCATACATAGCACACTGTATGGCGTATTCCTGTCTTCATTAGCCCAACCGGAACAGAACGGTGGAACGTTAAACTCCATTTCATTTCATTTAAACTAAAATGGTATTGCATTTAGGATCCACTAGCTATTCAGAACTATTCCATTAGTTAAAATTTCATGGAAATGAAATGAAATACTTTTCTCCACCAACCGGGGCGACGATTACAAGCATAACTAAATAGTATGAGATAAAATGAAATAAAATAAAATGCTGTTTAACGTCCTTTTGTTCATATGAAATGTTCTGCTCTGACTTGGCTAATTAAGGCGGGTATACACCATACAGTGTATTAGGGGGCAATAAAGAGTTGAATTAAAATGAAACAGTAAAATATTGCCGACCCTACAATTGAAAATATCAAGTGGCTTAGAAATTTTGTTTGCGTAATATAGCCGACTGGTGCTAGCGTTCCATGAACCTTCTTTTTATTTATCAATTGAATTTACAGGACAAGTTTTAGTAGAAAAAATAGCCACTGAGCCAATGAAATCAAAGATTGGAAATGTATTCCGCTCAGCCATATCCATTCCGTTATAACCGGAGGGGGCGGGGGCGGGGGTGGGGGTGCTCCGACGAGTGATTTAACGCGTGCGCGATAGCTCATAAACTACAGATCTCAAGGGCAGCTATCTATGCAAGTCACGAGTGTCGCCTTTCTCATATGTTAATCCCCCCACACACACACACACACACCCACTTTCTCCGCCCGTTACACACGTGTGTCTTATAAAAAATAACGTCTGACACTGTAAACCCTTTGAAATGATTTATGTTTTTTGAACAGCTTCGGTGTGTTTAAAACTAATTCCATTTGAACAACTGACAGACAGACGTTGTTAATTGTCAGTCAGTTCAAATCATTTATCAATAAAACACTCGACTTTCTCGACAACATTGAATTCTCCTGATACCCGACACGATTCATTTAATAGATTAGCACAAACTCTGTCTATTTTTTTTACTCGTCTTTAAATTACTTTTTGTCTTAAGACAGCAACAGGCCTCTTGTTTGTTTTTTGTAAGAAATGAACTGATTCGTTATCAGTTCTTCAGTCACGCCAAAGTAGCTTACTTCTTCGCCAACACTTGGCGTTATTGGTACCGCAAAGATCGTAATTTTTTTTAATTTGAACGCTTCATAAAGTATGCGATATTTAATCTGTTTCTATACGCTATACCTAAATTTGACCGTGGACTATATTATTATAAGGTCCACGAATTCCCCTTTTCTATGCAACACGACATCAAATGAAGCAAATTATTGTTTCAATCATAACCATTGCTTGGTGGACTTCGTTTGGTTTTCAATTTTCTAGATTAAAGAATTGTAACGTTTCCAGAATAAATTGTTTAAAAGTTTGTAGAATAAAGAATTTATACAATTGATAGAATAAAAAATGTTAACGTTTCTAGAACCAAGAATGTTTTCAATTTCCTAAAACGAAGAATTTAAACGTTTCTAGAATATAAAAATTATACAATTTCTAGAATAAATAATTTAAACCTTTCTAGAAATAAAACTCTTATCCGTTTATATTAGACCAGTCAGTACATAAGAGAGAAAGAGAGAAATGGAGTTTAACGTCCACTCGACACAAACTAGGTCATTTCGGGACTAACGTATGGTTTAATTTTATTTCAATAATTCGCTTGAGCATAGGGGTATTTAGCAGTGGGAGGAAACCGGAGGACCCGAAGAAAACGCACGAGGTTGGACAGTACATTAGAGTAGGACGTTAAATCCATTTCATTTCATTCTTATCGTCAGATTTGTAAGTTTCTGTTTATTTTACAGTTTCTAGAAGAATTCATTTTAGTTTATCTAGAATAGAGAATTAAAAGGGTCTAGAATAAACAATTCCAAAGTCTCTAAATTAAATATTTGTAAAGGGTCTAGATTAGATTCATGAATATTTTAGTTTGTATTCACAAATCATTTTAGCTTCTTTAGGATAAAGAATTAAAGGGTTCTAGAATAAACAATTTCAAAGTCTCTAAATTGAATATTTGTAAAGTTTCTAGATCAGATTAAGGAATATGTTAGTTTGTATTCACAATTTGCCAACAAAGACATTTCATATAGAATACATTTTACCAGCAACTTAATACAAGCAACGAGTTCTATCTCGTGGCTGATATATGACCAATGTTTAAATGGTGAACTTCTGGACGGTAAACACACTTAGAACTTCACACAAAGTTGAAGATGCCACACACCCATACACTTGTGTCTAAGAGGTACCATATTTTGGCCCACGAATATTCTTATAATATACGCATTGTTTTCTTTTGATGACAGCGTATCTTTCTGAAACAAAGCAACCATTTCAAAAGTAAGTATGTGAAAGTACTTGAACCGAACTCATTTTGAAGGGTATCCCATCACGGTAGCAAAAAGTCAACTATAGTTCATGGACTATGGACCAAACAGTTATGTTAAAGTGCGCAAAAAATAAAATATTTTAGGATATCAAACTGAATAATGTAGTCATACAGACCCACAAGAAACTGTCCACGTTTTGTGGAGATTTGAAAGTAAGCCTATCTTAAACCTCGCTAAATAAATACTCTAGGGACTATTATATTTATCAAACACTATAATATTGTAAAGAAAATCAGCATGTAAAACATATTAGCAAGAGTTACATAACAAATCTTTAATTATGATAAAATTAAAATGCTCCGAAAAAAGTCAATTAGTAGGGGCGTAAACCGCTAAATAAACACTCAAGGGACTATTATATTTCATTAAACAGTATATGGCGAAAAATATCAGCATGTGAAAACATTTTTTACAAGAGTTACAGAACAAATCACTAATTACGGTAAAGTTAAAATGCTCCAAAGAAAGAGAATTAGTAGAGGCGTAGACATGAATCTATGTGTAACTGAAGTTGAAAAATACTAGCTACCAATGACAATATAACCTAGAATTTCAAGGTTGAGAAGGGAATTTTAATAATGTTGATATTTACATTATCTAGGTACAAAATGTACAAACTTATCACCGTATGGGTTTGTCTTCTCGTTAGATCAACTCTATAACACGATAAATTTATCTTGTAACGACGGCAACCCTGATAATACTACAACTAGGACTGTTTTACAGATAAAATGGAGAGAGAGAGAGAGAAATGGGGTTTAACGTCCACTCGACACAAACTAGGCCATTTCAGGACTAACAGATAAAATGGAGAGAGGGAGAGGGAGAGAGAGAGAGAAGTTAATACGCCCTCAAACAAAACTAGGTCATTTCGGGACTAAGATATGATTCAATTTAATTTCAATAATTCGCTGCTTGCGCGTGGGATTCTTTAATCGTGAAAAGAGACCGGATGTAACGGAGAAAACTTACGAGGTTGAACAGGCGACCCTTCGTCTTGCCAGGTAACTGAGTGGGACCGAAACCACTTGACTCAATGACAACCCTTATGACCTAATGGTTACCGTGTGTGTGTTGTATTATAAGGTCTGTCATTGTGTCAACTGGCGTATGGTCGCCTGTCCAACCTCGTGGGTTTCTCCGGGTCCTCCGGTTTCCTCCCACTTCCCAATGCTAATGACCCCAACGCGCAAGCGAATTATTGAAAATAATAAACAATATGTTAGTCCCAAAATGACTAGTTTATGTCAGGTTGAAGTTAAACCCCATTTCTCTGTCTCTCCATAGCTATGATGGTGGGTGTTCATTGAGTCGGATAAGTACGCACTAAATTAAATAGATAAACATGAGCACTAAATTAAAAATAAAACTATACGCACTAATTTGTTTTGTCGGTCGTTGTACAATAAACACTAGAATATTTATGATTATATAATTGTGCAATATGCATTATAATGCATATGACCGTGAACACTATCTTGTCATTATATGCATATCTGCTGCAATGTATGTATGATTAAATGAATATATTTCATGTTGTTATGAAGGGAAATATTGATGAAAATTAATTCATACACATGTTTAAGTGTCTATTTTAATCATAGATATAGTCAACTCCTAGATCATCGGGGATCACAATTTCCAAACTATTATGGTGCAGTCGTGGTTGGTCGGATTTGAATGTATCAGAATAATGTTTTCGAGCTGGACAATATTGTCTTATTCTGTAGGATTTTCCCTTTAAATTATGCATGTCATGAAATGACACGTAGTTTAACGTCTTACACCAAGACATTTAAATAATATATTATGTTTGTCATGAATTGTGTTTTACAGCTTTTATTGTTATGGCTATTAGAGGTGAGTTTATGTGTGCGCAAACAGTGTTTGGCAAACGGTAAAGAAACTCAAATTCTCTAGAGGGAAGAGAGAGAGAGAGAGAGGGAGAATTTAACGTCCACTCGACACAAACCAGTTCATTTGGGGACTAACATGTTGTTCAATTATATTTCAATAATTCGCTTGCGCGTAGGGATCTTTAGCAGTGGGAGGAAACCGGGGGTCCCGGAGAAAATCCAAGAGAATGGACAGACGACCCTACTCCATGTCACATACAACCGGGGAATCGAAACCACTCCAGTTGACCCAATGAGAGACCTTATGATACAACGCGCACGCGCTAATCATTTGGCCATCCAAAACCCCAAAAGTTGTAACACTTTGGTCCTTGTAAAAAATTTTGGTTCTTTGCAAAATTATTGCTTCACTCTGTCTATAGAGACAAATCACACGTACTTAATGAACGTGAATATATAGTTATATATAAAAAAAACAGTGATATTTTGGTTAAATCATAATCATGTCAAAATATACATCAAATTCTGGCTGTTAAATGACCTATGGTTGGTAGACCAAAAACAGATAATGTCTCCTATCTTAGTCGTGTGAAATAATTTATTCAATATATGGAGTGGAAATTAACGTCAAGCTTATCGAAGACCTGCAGAAATTAGAGGGTATAAATTAGGGTGTAAAGCGAGTTGGATCAGGGCTCATTCAGAAATTCCTAGCAGCCATTATTATTGAGAACGAGGAACCTGCACAGCCATTACAGCTTAGTAATAAAGTTGAAAAACTATTTTATGCTGTTGTCTTGTTACGATCACGAAGAAACAAACACAACAAGAAAGAAGTCCTATAGTACTACAAAGTCTCTAGAGGAGGTTAACATCGAGCACCTCGGTGACATTTTGGACCGGGTGAAAGGTGAGCGGTTCCCGTGAGCGATATTTTTACCGCTTGATGTTTGTTGAATATAACCTTTTATGTTTTAGGTAGAGGCCAACAACCGGTGCGAAACGACATGTTCAGCGGATAAATATTTACATTAAGTTGTAAATGTCGCAGTAACAACATGGACATCGCCCTCAAATAGTCGAGAGACGTAGAGAACAAGATTTGATAGTAAGGAGAGTATCCTCTTTGTGTTTAATACGGTGCGGTTAAGAGGCAATAAATTGCGAAAGACATTTTAACAGCTCAAATTAAAACAAGCGTAGGTAAAATATTAAAACTACATCAATACGCATAAAGTTGGACAAAAAAATACCTCTATATTATACGAAAATACAAGTTCATGTGTGTTTATGCGCATTCAGTGGCGCTCATTATATAAACAATCTGCTGTTGTCTTACAGTGATCACGAGGACATCATCAGTGTATGCTATGTAAAATAAAATATATAATTGAGGACGAGTCTGGTTAATTCTTTTGTATTAATATTGAGGACGAGTCTAGTTATTCCGTTTGTATTTATATTGATCACCAGATAGTGTAAATCACACGAGGTATCACCAGTGAGAAGTAAACGCGGAATCTGTGAAACAAAAAACAGCAGTCGCATATGGAATAATCTCTCATAAAGGATTAAGTAAACTGCGCATCCTTTCAAAGGGGACTTGATTAGTAAACTATAGACCAAATAGTAACCTATGTGCGGAACGAGCATGATAAAAAACACTTAGAAGATAATTCTGACTCTCGGATATAACTTGTATTTTAGGTCTAAGTGAATAAGACAATTCGGCATTGGATAAACGAGTTACTGAAAACAAACTTAAGGAACAAGTAATCAACAACGAGCATTATAATCAACCACTTAGAAGATAATTCTGACTCTCGGATATAACTTGTATTTTAGATCTACGTGAATAAGACAATTCGGCATTAGATAAACGAGTTACTGAAAACAAACTTAAATAAAACTCATTTTGAATAAAGAAAGAAACTAAAAAACAATGGCGTCTACAAAAGTTTTAGGTGTCTCTATGTGGGTGTTGATAATATGTATAAAAACAGTTATTGCCCGGGAAAACCAACAGTTATTGATGCTTCTGTTTGATGGATTTAGATGGGATTATCTCGACCAACCAGATTTACACCTTCCTGGATTCCGGAGAATACTTGAGATAGGAATTAGAACGGATTATCTAAAGCCAGTTTACCCGACCCTGTCTTATCCTAATTATTATTCTATTGCCACAGGTGAGTTTAATTCTGTTATATATTTCATAAACAATAATTATATTAACAATGTGATTGACAGGAGGACCGCACCACACATAACTAATTACACAAGACAAACCCATGGACAGGACATAATATACACAGACATTTCAAACAATAAACAACAAACGTATATATCAAATCATGCGAATGGACCATGGGGGCAGTCGTAAGCGTACTCTGCGATGCACAGCCCCCGTCATGTAGTGATAAAAAATCTCACCCCAAACAAACAATAGGGGGAAATAATTGAAGAAACACAAAAACGGTGAATCTTTCCCAAAAGTTGTATCATACTGGTGTCACTTATGGTCGACTCAGTGCTAGAATTATCAATGTCAAGACATCAAAGACAAAATTGTTTTATAGAGAGAGAAAAATGGGATTTAACGTCCACTCGACACAAACTAGGTCATTCCGGGACAAACACAAGGTTCAATTTTATTTCAATAATTCGCTTGGGCGTAGGGATCTTTAGCAGTGGGAGGAAACCGGAGGACCCGGAGAAAACCCACGAGATTGGACAGGCGACCCTTTTCATTGTCACGTACAACAGGGAAATCAAAATCACGCCAGTTAACTCAATGACAGACCTTATAATACAGCACGTGCTAACCATTCGACCATCCAACTCCCCAATATATTTTATAATTAACGATTAAAGGGTGTTTATGTAAAATTAGATACAGAGCTGACAGTTCTCGTTATAATAGTGAAAACGTGTATTCCGTTTGCTAAGTAAATGGTAGTATGGTAGTAATTATGATTTTGGGGTCCAGCTCAGTATACTGTTAGTTCGGGGATCTTAAACGTTCTCACAGTATTGTTTCAAATAAATTATATACGCTGATAAAGGTTCAAACGTTTATTAAAAATACTGACCGAATGTCTCCTGCCGTAAGTAAAGCAAACCTTATCATCAGTTCAGAAGTTTACTTGGAACTAAATTAAACATGTTAAGGGGATTATAGATAAATTTACAAACATTAACCCTATAAGCATTCTAATATGTTAAGCTAACATTTCGTGGGTATTATTTAATAATTTTTGTACCATAAATGATGCACGTATACTATATTATGTAAAATAATATGCCATACTGAACTGCGGACAAGTTCTAAGATAAAGATGACAGAGACTCTCATGATAAATTTAAAACAATTATTTTGTACAACAGAAATATCTATACTATATCAGTAGTTATAACATAGATAATGAAAGGGGAATATGTTGAAAATTTCAGTCAAATTAAATTACTTCTCTCTAAGCAAATTAATCACCTCTATTGCCATTACTACCGTCGTTTCTATAATAAACAAAGTTTCGATTGTCCACTTTTACATTAAATCATCAACCGCAAATCGTATTTAAATCTATTGAAAATCTAGAGTATTCGATAGCATCGAGAGTTGATTTTGGTTTTGGTAATTTGAAAATGGATTATGCAAGAGCTAAATCTGCCTATTGCAGTTCTTTCATTAGATCTTAAATGTCATCTAAATGATTCATTAGACATTAATTAGCTTACCAGGAACATAATCAACTCTCGATGTCATCGGATGTCTGCGATATATAGTGTTTTTAATACGTTTTGCGGTGTATGAAATAACCTTTAAAAGGGAAAATCAAGACTTTGTTTATTATCGTAACAACGGTAGTAATGACGATCGAGGCTAGCCAAAGATTAAATCACTAATATCTTGTTTCAGAGTGAAGCAATTTGACTGCAATTTTCAGTGTATTCTCTTTTCTTTATCTATTCTTAACTAATGTCCCTTTAATTAATGTCTAATTAATAATTTATTTAACATTTCAGGCATACAAAGACCTGCTATATACATGTATAGGCACATTTAGCTCTTGCATAATGTATCATTAAGGGAACAAAATGTCGGTTTGTTCATATATATCTCAAAAGTAATAAAGACTGTGTTATTTTGTAATTAAGAATGGGCTAGCCTGTACGAAACAGATAGCAGTTTTATTATTAATATATTTTTCTATGTGAAATTATAGATGGTGGTGTGGAACTTATAGAAACTAATAGGAAATTTATCGTAGTTCAAGAACAACGTCTAGTCGTTCGGTTCGTACAAAAACCGAGGTCCCGTGCACGTAAAAGAACTCCTACAAGTTGGAATTTAATTGCTGTCCAGGCAACATTTGCATAATAGCAAACTGTATGACGTATGTCCCCTCTTTATTAGCCCCATCGGTGTATACAAATATGAATTTAAACCCCATTTCATTCATTCAGTAACCGTTTGGCCGGGATGTACTAAAGATATTTGTAGATTACTTTGACTCAAATGCACATGATGTAACTTCAAGGGGAACGATCCCATATGAGTCTTAGCTGATTTAAACTCGGTTGCCAAGTGGCAAAACAAGTAAAGACAAATTTATTTTAGTTAATTGTAACTGAATTGGATACATAAGAAAAATCTTGAAACATTTTGGTGTTAATAAATAATTACAAAAACAGACATCTTCAACAAAATCAAACAGAAAATTCTTTATCTGTCTCTATAAATTATTTTTTTTTTCTGAAGCAAATGGATTTTTTTCATGGTATAAATATCAGAATATCTTGGAATTTTAACATAGCATAAATTTGATACAGACTTGTGCAGTGTTAATTTAATGGTCTAATACAATCGAGGCGTTTTCTCAAATGCAATGATGTGGTTGATATCTGGAATTACAATTATAGAAGACAGCAAAGAAATTGAGATAACTAAAAGAGAGAAATGAAATGAAATGGGGTTTAACGTCCTACTGTTCTGCTCCTAACCTGGGCTAATGAAGACGGGGCATACGCCCTACAGTGTGCTATGAGGGAAATTTTGCCCGGACAGCGGCACTACGGCCTACTCTTATATCGAATTCCAACTGCCAAGGGATCTTTTACGTGCACGCCAATGTGTACACGGGACCTTCCGAACGACTAGACAGCTTTCCTTGTCAGCCCCTCCTGCCTGCATCTGGATGAACTTTCTCGGCCAATGCAGGGATCGAACACCCGACCTCCAGGCTAGCGAGCTAGCGTCTTACCCACTTAGCCACGTGATCCCCACTAAAAGAGAGAGAGAGAGAGAGAGAGAGAGAGAGAGAGAGAGATGGGGTTTAGGTCATTTCGGGACTAACATATGGTTTAATTTTATTTCAATAATTCGCTTGCGCGTAGGGGTCTTTAGCAGTGGGAGGAAACCGGAGGACCCGGAGAAAACCCACGAGGTTGGACAGGCGACCCTACTCCATGTCACGTACAACCGGGGATTCGAAACCACGCCAGTTGACTCAATGACAGGCTTTATGATACAGCGCGCACGTGCTAACCATTCGGCCATCTAACCCCCGGAGATAACTAAAATATTACACCATATGATGATAATAGTGATTTCATGAAGCCTGATCCCGTGTGGAGCAGAAAAGTAGGACGTTAAACCCCATTTCATTTCATGAAAACTGCAATGGAAGAATATAAATCCGCTGATCGTCATTTGCATTTTTCGGAATATTTCGATTCATAGAGTGGCAAGGTTTATGTAAGAACGAAACGAAAATAAAACGGAACGAATAATTAATGATATACGCTAGGATTGTATGCAGTCTTAATAAAGTAGTAGGTTTTAGAACCCGGATGTAAATTTAGTTACCTCATTTCACCTATCTGGGTGTGGGTGGGGGTGGCGGCGAGGGTATATTTGGTATCTAGGAAACAAACTGTAATTTCGGCATCTAATTTCAATAATTCGCTGCGAGAGAAAACTCCTGGTGAAATCGTTAATTACCCTAAAATGTCCTCTAAACTGAACAAGCACTAAACCAGAAATCATTAGATGCACATCCCAAAATTTCGTAAGTGCTGCACAAGGCCTAAATTAGAAAACATTAGGTGTACAACACAGAATTTCGTTAGTGCTCCTTTTTATGTAGAACAATTCCAACACATTTAAACATACATTATGCAAGAGCTAAATCTGCCTACTGCAGGTCTTTCTTTGGGCCTGAAATGTTATCTAAATTATTAATTAGACATGAACTTATCCAGACCATAATCAACTCTCGATGGCATCGCTAGGCTGCGATGTTTATAGGATTATGTTCCGATTTGCTGTTCGACTTCCATTCATAATTAAATCAAAAAATGGATAATCGAGACTATGTTTTTTATACTGCCGACTTTAGTAATGATGATCGAGGCTAGACTAAAAATTCAACCGCTAAAAAATTTCGGTTCATAGTGGATCAATTTGACTGAAATTTTCAGCAAATTCCCTTTACAGTATTTAGTTTTTAACTATTATAGTGAGAACTGCCAACTCTTTATCTAATCTCCCATAATGTATCTTTAACTAAAAGTATTAAAGACTATGACTTGGACGTCGTTTATAAGCTTTACGTGATATGGGTAGTAACTCTGAATTTTGATCGGGTTTGCACTTAGAACATATATTTCCCCTCTCATCACTGTCCCTTGAAATGATCACGCATTTTTAAAAGACGTTTCCTAAAACCATTGAAGGGGGGGGGGGCGTATGCGTCTACGTTAGTAGTATAGAAATGGCGTAGTGGGGGTCGACTTGAAGTTAAACCCATCTCTTTATCTACTTGGATTGAAGCGTGCATTGAATTGTAAATTGCACGGTGAGAATTAGTACAAATCGTACTAACATTATAACCTCACGTATATCCTGCTTTATGTACCAAACCCGTCACCCGCGCGCGTGAAATCGCAAGGTCTGTCAATGCTTCAGGCGGTGTTGTTTCGATGTACGTGACAAGGTCGCCTGTCCAACCTGGTGGGGTTTCTACGGCTCCTCCGGTTTCATCCCACTGATAAAGACCCCTACGCACATATGAATCATATGCTAGTCCCGAAACGACCTGGTTTCTCTCTCTCTCACCCTCTCTCTCTCCATCATGAGTATGAGAACAAAGTAATTAGTATTATATTAAAGCGGGGGTTAGCATGT